CCCCCCACCAGCTGGGTGGACACATCTCCCACCAGCTGGGTGGACACATCCCCCCACCAGCTGGGTGGACGGTCACCGGGTACAAGCCTGGCTCCCGCCTCCACACTGCAGATGATGGGGTACCATGATGGGGTACCACACACAAACACCAACAAGGCTGAGATGATGAGCCTATGGGATTAGGATCAACATGACATGAGATAAAAAAAATGCAAATATTACATGCAACCAAGTGAACAATGATTACTTAAAAGCAGGAAAATATATAAGGTGACTGCAGCAAGCCTATTGATCCCAGGCGGGCAGGTCCTGTTTAACCCCGGCCACGAAACTCGTATACTAAGTCGAGATTAGACAATTTAGCCACTTATTATTTCATCTATGTGCCACGAAATGGTGTGTATGATCTTTATATTGTATATTATTAAATAAAGAAAAAAATTGTATTTGATAGAGAGCTCCAGATCCTATTGGGTTTTGTCATATCTACATTTAAAGCTGCCCGAATTCATAAATAATTTCATAGTAGTAATACCTGCTCAACCAGGCTATGATTCATACGTCAGGCTGCGAGCAGCCACGTCAAACAGCCTGGTTGACCAGACTATTGGCCCATACGAGGCAGCTCCCATCTACAACCACCCTATCCCACTCATATACATGTCCAGCCCACGCTTGAAACAATCGAGGGACCTCACCTCCACCACTTTCCACAAATCAACAACCCCGTTACTGAACCAGTATTTACCCAAGTCTTTCCTAAATCTAAACTTATCCATTTTATACCCATTGTTTCGTGTTCTGTCTTCTGTTGATACTTTTAATACCCTATTAATATCCCACAAGATAAGGTAGTAGGCAGTTTATCTTTGCTTGGCTCCTCCCTAATCCAAACAACAAATATGGAGACAAACACGCGTACCTCATGGCCACAAACATATCTACCACGTGGCCACAAACATGTCTACCACGTGGCCACAAACATATCTACCACGTGGCCACAAACATGTCTACCACGTGGCCACAAACATGTCTACCACGTGGCCACAAACATATCTACCACGTGGCCACAAACATGTCTACCACGTGGCCACAAACATGTCTACCACGTGGCCACAAACATGTCTACCACGTGGCCACAAACATGTCTACCACGTGGCCACAAACATGTCTACCACGTGGCCACAAACATGTCTACCACGTGGCCACAAACATATCTACCACGTGGCCACAAACATGTCTACCACGTGGCCACCAACAATCTATCACGTGGCCACAAACATCTACCACGTGGCCACAAACATGTCTACCACGTGGCCACCAACAAGTCTACCACGTGGCCACAAACATCTACCACGTGGCCACAAACATATCTACCACGTGGCCACAAATGTCTTCATCGTGGTAATAAACATGTCTACCTCGTGGCCGAAAATATATTTAACATGTTGCTACATACATGTCTACTACGTGTTCTCAAACATGTCTACCACGTGGTCACAATCATGTCTACCACGTTGTCACAATCAAGTCTACCACGTGGCCACAATCATGTCTACCACGTTGTCACAATCATGTCTACCACGTGGCTACAATCATGTCTACCACGTGGTCACAATCATGTCTACCACGTGGCCACCATCATGTCTACCACGTGGTCATAATCATGTCTACCACGTGGCCACAATCATGTCTACCACGTAGTCATAATCATGTCTACCACGTGGCCACAATCATGTCTACTAGGCTACAATCATGTCTACCACGTGGCCACAATCATGTCTACCACGTGGCCACAATCATGTCTACCACGTGGCCACAATCATGTCTACCACTTGGCCACAATCATGTCTACCACGTGGCCACAATCATGTCTACCACTTGGCTACAATCATGTCTACCACGTGGTCATAATCATGTCTACCACGTGGCTACAATCATGTCTACCACGTGGCCACGAACATCGTCTACCACGTGGCCACGAACATCGTCTACCACGTGGCCACGAACGTTTACACGCTGCTATGACGGTATGTCCACTCACAGGATCCGCTGACCAATAAACATGCCCGCCGGGACAAAACAAAACAAAAGACAAGGACAAATCCTAAAAATAAATCTACCATATGGCTAGAAGCTAATGTTTACTGCGTGTCTACCATATTATACAAACGCTTGTCTATTATTTAATCGGAAACATGTTACCCTGCCTTGCATGTAGCCAATTACAAATGCATGTCTCTACAAGTACCTATATCTGTTTAAATTATTTAATGCACGAACCCGCAAAATCACGAGACTTACAGTGAGGGACCAACATAGCCTAGTAACCCTCTCCACTAGGTCAGGTCAGGTCAGGGTAAGGTCAGGGGTCGGAGTGAGGTCAAACTACAAGTTATTTGAGGCCCCTTAAATACACACGGCAGGATTCTGTGGGTTGTATATCTCCTTAACCCCTTTCTGTGACTGCACACAAAGTCTGGAATATATTTAAAAAATATATATTTATTGCATAAATATAATGTTTGAAGTGTGAAAACAATGTCAATTTACCTAGAATAATACATCGCATTTTGACGCCAAACTCGCCAAAGGACACAATATAATGTATTACGAATCATAACGGCTCGCAAATGTTCCTGTTTTCTACGCGTGGGTCCCTGTTTTAGTTCATCATTTTCCGTCCGCTGTGGCAACTAGAGATCAGCTGCCTGATTACTAGGGAGGCACTAAGTAGGAGACAGCTCCTCCACTCCCTCAACACCCTTCTCGCCGATAACATCACACGGATAACCGCATACATTACCTTAACTGACCCTCACCGTCTTCCAAGATGCCCGCAGTGACACCACTGAATTTTATTCCCCTAGCGATTGACAAGGTGGGGCAGATCTCAGAGCCATTAGACTGCCGATCCTTAAAGAGAACCACTCCAAATAAGCAAGACCTGGTCATAGTCTACCGGGCCGCGTCACTCCTGTGAATGAACACACCAGTATGACACCCAGTAGGATATCATGGAACGGATAAGAGCCAACAGAAAAAAAATTAAAGACTAATATATTCACTAAAATTTACTTTAATATAAACTATGCAAAATGTTAAAGTATTCTTTAAGGGTTAGACACAAGATAAACTACTACTTAATGATTATGGCAGTAGGCAAGTCTTTTAAGATTTAACATCTAACCAAAGGAAGACGAAGATATAATAATCATATACCGAGAGGAAGAGAGGAAAACCACTACACAAGGTGACGGGAGTGGTGTGAGCCGCGGTGCGACAGGCGGTCTGGCCGGGTGCTCTGGTAGCCAACCCCTCCCCCACCTCTCCCTTAACCCCTCCCCAGCACATCCCCCTTCTCTCCTCCACCTCTCCCCATCGCCCCCTTCCCCAACTGCGGTCGCTCCTCCCCTCCCTCTCACCCCACTCTCTCACGGTCAAGGCCAAGAGCGGCCACAGCCGTGTTTACATGTAACGGTTCTACAAAAGTACCTTATGAAGCATACTCGGCTCTAAAACTCACTCATGAGTTTTAGAGCCGAGTGAGGCTCTATCGTCAAAACTATGGTATGAAATGTATGTCAGGTGGGCGAAACGCAATTGCAGATCAATTAACTCCCTTACCAGAGGTGTTAAATAGCCAAACACGTGTTGTCGAATACATTTACAGAAAGTTTTATTTAAGGGATAGCTGAATCAGAGTACACGTGAGTCCTTGCGTAGTCCTTAGAATGCCAAACACCTGCAGCCACACCAATGTCAGACACCGTGCCAAACACCTGAAGACACATTACCTAACACCTGCACCCACACCACTGTCAGACACCATGTCAAACACCTGTACCAATGTCAGACACCGTGCTAAACACCTGCACCCACACTACTGTCAGACACCATGCCAAACACCTGCAGCCACACTACTGTCAGACCTGGTTGATACCTGGTTGATGGGGTTCTGGGAGTTCGTCTACTCCCCAAGCCCGGCCCGAGGCCAGGCTCGACTTGTGTGAGTTTGGTCCACCAGGCTGTTGCTTGGAGCGGCCCGCAGGCCCACATACCCACCACAGCCCGGTTGGTCCGGCACTCCTTGGAGGAATAAATCTAGTTTCCTCTTGAAAATGTCCACGGTTGTTCCGGCAATATTTCTTATGCTTGCTGGGAGGACGTTGAACAACCGCGGACCTCTGATGTTTATACAGTGTTCTCTGATTGTGCCTATGGCACCTCTGCTCTTCATTGGTTCTATTCTACATTTTCTTCCATGTCGTTCACTCCAGTACGTTGTTATTTTACTGTGTAGATTTGGTACTTGGCCCTCCAGTATCTTCCAGGTGAATATTATTTGATATCTCTCTCGTCTTCTTTCTAGTGAGTACATTTGGAGGGCTTTGAGACGATCCCAATAATTTAGGTGCTTTATTGCGTCTATGCGTGCCGTATATGTTCTCCGTGCCAAACACCGTGCCAAACACCGTGCCAAACACCTGCACCAATGTCAGTCACCGTGCTAAACACCTGCACCCACACTACTGTCAGACACAGTACCAAACACCTGCACCCACACCAATGTCAGACACAGTACCAAACACCTGCACCCACACCAATGTCAGACACAGTACCAAACACCTGCATCCACACCAATGTCAGACAGTATCAAACACCTGCACCCACACCAATGTCAGACACAGTACCAAACACCTGCACTCACACCAATGTCAGACACTGTACCAAACACCTGCATCCACACCAATGCCAGACAGTATCAAACACCTGCAGCCACACCAATGCCAGACACAGTACCAAACACCTGCATCCACACCAGTGCCAGACACAGTACCAAACACCTGCATCCACACCAGTGCCAGACACAGTACCAAACACCTGCATCCACACCAATGCCAGACACAGTACCAAACACCTGCAGCCACACCACTGTCAGATTGTACCAAACACCTGCAGCCACACCACTGTCAAACTGTACCAAACACCTGCAGCCA